ATCACTGAACAGCAGGTCTTCGTGACTTTGGGGTCCGCCCCGACTGCTGTTCAGCACATTAGTGTGAAATATAAAAAATCTGTTGATCCCTACATGACTTTCCGTATCGTGCTGTGGAAAGTGCAAACTGGACTCCTGGTAATTGTATGCTTGACATGGTCAGTACATGAAATTTCAGCGTCTAATTTTATTATACAACTGAATTTCATGGCGTCTTATCATAGTGTCACGTGAGGGTCAACAGATAGTGTGTAGTTAAGAAGCAAAGAGCTGCACTAATAAATTAGGAAAAGAGGGTATCTGACCTTTTAGGTTGGGATCCAAACTACTGAACAGTGTAGTGGCGGACTGACCGACAGCAGTGGCGTTCGTGCTATCCTTTCCGGTCAGGCTAGAGCGTTTGGCGATGTGTGCATGTAAGATGAAATTCTGTATTCTGTTTTGACCATAGTTTGTCTCTTTCCTCCGCACGGCATGCCCTTCCACGCTATGCAGCAATATTCACTTTCTCTCTCTCGTGTCTGCTGATCTTCGGCAGAAATCGCTGACCTGTAGCACGTCGATTCATATCTAGATGAAAGTTACATTGGTTATATTGATCCCCTGTTGCGTCGGGTGAGTAAATTCTCAAAGAATTTTCAACTTTAGAGGTCACCATTCCTTATATTTATTTATCCAAGTGAATATTTGATAAAAATCCCGACAGCAACTTCCCCCTTCGTCCTCAACCGTCCCTGGTACACTATTCGTGGGCGTTCACATCGTTTGTACTGTTCTGAATTGACTGCGAGTAATTCCTTGCAGCTGATCTCTCGTTTAAATAAACATTCTTCTATTGTGAGATGTGTAATGAAATTAGGCGTGCATAAAATGCTAATAACCATGAAATGGAATGCTGGATAGGTCTGCTTCAGCCATGTTGACTATGATAAACTTTAAGCGGAGAAATGTTTCAACTTGGGTTTGGTCTCTATTTACATCGATGGATTTGTGCCGTGTTTCTCGTTTATTTCGATTTCGTGCTGTAAATGAAGCATTTGATTTTTCTTGTTGAGGCATGTCACGAATGGTCATTCCACTACGATTCGTTAATTTGATGAGAGTAGTAATCACGAGTGATTACTCGTTCATTTTTCTCTTCCATTGCTTCAGGATCTGCATAATACTTTCCCTTAACATGTGATATGTTGAACAAGGTGGACCGCTGACTTCGCTCGGCCTGTTCAACAGAATCTTGTGTACTGTTCCAATAGTAATGATCACTTGGGAAAATTCTCACGGCTTCGACTACGGCTTATGGCTTACGAATCGGTTCATTTCCTCACGTTTATGAGACGTGCACTCCGAAGAATTGAACCATCAGTAAATGAATCCTGCTGTTATGCTGTGAAGCGGTCTGGGTGGAAACATGATCAATCCTACTGTGACACAGAATCCGCACGACAGTCCCCAATGAAGTCCCCCAATGTTTCGTTCAACTGCTTCATTCTTATTTGCTACCACCAGCGGCGCCTAGCCATTGGGATTCCGGACATGAGGGGCTCTTGATCAGACACACTCACCACTTAGACTGTTCACGGGCTTGGGAACTGAATTTCTCTAGTAGCCAAGGTTATTCCATTGAACTTGTCAACAAAATTATACCCGTGACCTTCTCGTGTGTTTTGAATTTGTTATTGCCATGCCCGAACTGGTGTTCAGTTGAAGCGAGATATATCTATAGAGTACAAGCATCTTAAAATATCCAAGTATTGTTTATACCTTTAACAGCATTCTGAGGATTCTATCTGACCTGCGATTATTTGTCTGAGTGGATTCGTTTTCCCCACAAATGTATTGTTTTCCAGTGGTCTAGTCGATCTGGAATATGATCTCTTTTCTCCCTCCCCACGGTGTGTAGGATCACATAAACTTCAGTGTCGGTAAACAGGCCTACCTTATCGGTGACTTGGCCAATTCGGTAATGTCGTTGCGTCGAAGTCTGACCAAATACAGCCGTCAACCTGCCGAACGTCAGTCTCTGTTTGTTCGCGAATACCTAGTTGTTTTGAAGGTAAGTTTGTTGCCTGCTCGTTTTTTGTCGAGAGCGAGTCTTATCTAGAATTCATTTGTGTACTATATTTTTTTTACTTTTCCAATCTTCTTTGTAGCGGCTCATATCTCTTTGTCACGATGCCACATTGAATGATCTAAGTTGATCATGTTCAAGTTTCTGTTTTGTGTGTACGCATCTCACGTACAATTAATTGCTGAACATACTTTCTTGTGTAGTCGATTATCGCTGACAATCGGCTTAGGCATTTTACCACTCTCATTCACGTTCTCCAAATTCTTTCAATGTCCGTGATTGAGTAAGGTGACAATTTCGATCTGGATTGAGCTTTCCTGGCCCAACACAAATGAACCGACTCCATTTTCAAACCATTTACGGGCGATGATGAGAAGACGGCAGTTATCAAACTCAGTTCCTCAGAATCATCTTCAGTACGCACTGTCTCTGTTTCATTCCATGCTACACTTCACATCCGATCAGAACCACCACGAATGCTTCAAGCTAGAAAGATCTAATAGGTGCGCTCTACTGTCTTCCAGGCAAGCGTGATACAGATGAATGAAACCAACCACAGCATTTGCCCGCAAACGATTGTCGTGAATAACTGCCTTTTATGAAACACTGAATGCACAAAATAAATGCCGTATCGAATCCTCATTCTCTAGACTTATACGCGATTTCTGGTTTTCTTTGAATTTCGTCCCTTATGCCCTGCCGAGTGCAATTTAACGAGATATAATCTCGTCTTGGGTGGTTCACGTCAATCCACAGGTGCATACTTGACTTTCATTAGTGCTCCTGATTGCCTCGATAGTTTGTAGACTATTCCTATGAACAATCTAGAAAACGGTGACGCCGAAGAATTATTTAATCGCTTGATGTGATATATCGAACAGGAAATTTATTCACAAAACGGTTTCGTTGCTTCTCACTTGCCCTACACGTAGCACTCAATTCGGTTGAATTTTTATACATTATGTGAGAAATGGAGGATTTGGTCCAATTTTAAAGGTGAATTCGTTATGTATATAGCAAATGAAGCGTGAACTGAAAAGCTAGGACGCGCTGGACAGCTGTTTCGATCTGGTTGAGTCTCATCAGCAGTGCGAATTCATCGACCAACTGGGGATCGAACGCGGGACCTCACAGGCTGAACACAAGTATCAAAGAAGCCCCCAGGTTGTGAATGTCTTCAACCTGGTCATAACCCGAAGATTAGTGCTGAAATGCTTAGGGTCTGTGACCTGCAACAAGCTCTCAAAGATGGGTTGTACTATATCGTGTAAATGGAAAATGAAAAAAACCATCTGATCAGCTGACCCGGGGTGGCCGAGTGGATAGTATGCTCACGTTCCGTCTATGAGGTCCCGCTTTCAATCCTTAGTTAGGTCGATGGATGCGCTCTGCTGATGAAACGCAACCAGGTAGAAACAGCTATCTAGTGCTTCCTAGCTTTTCAGTTCTCGTTACGTTTGCCGTATACACGACGAATTCACCTTTGAAATTGTCATACATTACCAAAGGTTTTGCTGGTCTGCTTTCAGATTGTTCCCTGTACACTATTGGTCTGAGGAAACTCTGAATATCTTTCGTATGTTGATGAGATGTCCATCTTCGATGGCTTTTACCCACAATCCGTTTCTTTTTTCAATTTCGATAGCAATATCTTGCCAAAGCCACGGCCGATAGGGAAGACTCTGCACTGTTGCGAAACTTTGCCCTGTTCCCACTCCCCGTGGTTCGATTCAATGATCTTCAAGTGATGTTGGGCAAACCAGTGAAACATGGCGAAGGTAAGTACAATTCGTTACTGCCTTCATGCCTCGAATCGTTTTGCTCTTTCATTCTTAGAATTCTTCCAGTACATTACCATGGTGATTGAGACTGAATCTCCTCACGTGTGAATAGGTCCTTGTTGTTGGAGTTTAGTTTATCTTCTATGTGTATTCTGAGGGATTTCATCTCTCAACATAACACATTAGCACATTGGTTTTCGATGATACAGTTGGTTTACCAAATATTGTGTTTGTGTGGGTTCAACGAGATATTGCATTCACTGCGGTACTCTTCTGTAACTGACGAATGCCTAACCGCATGCACCCGTCATGAAGATTGTTTTCAGTGTTGCCAGGAAGGATTAGCACGTAGGACGTGCTCAACCGCGTCTTCAGGTGGCGAATATATGAGGCAGCCAGAGGTATTCAGTTACTGGTGGTTACGCCTACGATTTTAGTTGCGGGCATTGCAACACCACACGGAGACTGTAGTTTTCAAACATTGAAAGGTCATCGAAACCACTCGGATACCTTCGCCAAGAATGTCTGGATCACTCCTTATGGCGCCAACTTCTGAGATGCAACAGCGAGACTGCACCTTGACGTGGTGTGATGACTTGGTCACCTCTCTGACCGAAGGAGCTACACAGGATAGCTTTTGTCAAGCCGAAGACTTAATCATGCTTGGAAGATCAAAGGATAGAGGTCGGATGAAGTCGTCTCCTAATCCGCCAGGTTGGGGGTTCGATTAAAATTTGCCTTTCACTCGGTAAAAAATGACGGAGGAGTAATTGATCCAAGTAAATGGGCTTCCACTTCGATTCACCCGCTGCCTTCCGGCTAAGTTCTTGTCAGAACTAAAGGCTTTGACTGAGAACCCTAATCGTTCTCCTGGCACACTCTAACAGTATTAAAACTCTGCATAATTATGCGTTGCGAGTTTGGCAGCGATCAGTGACGTTCGCGTCATTGTATTTCGCTGTACGATAATGATGATGTCAAAGTAAGCGGTCACCTTTCGCCTTGATGTTGGGGCTACCGGATGAGCATAAGTGAATACAGTGTTGTGAACATGAAACGCCCGCGTCTACTTTGCTTGAAGTCCGACAAAGAGAAACCGCGAATACATTACAATCTGCATCCACCCAACTTCTAACCGATGCGCATGCGGAGCTCCCATCCGAGGTACTCTGGAAGGGGATGTGTATGACTCACCCTCTAGAATGGGATTATCGTAAAACAGTATAGCAAGGCAAAAAGGCCAACCAGAACCCATTCGATTGAGAAATTCAGTTGTTGAAAGTGAGCTGAATGTTGAAGCAACAGAATTTAGTTAGTGTTGACTTTTCCTAACCTCTTGATCTGCTTCTAGCCAGAGAAATGTACTTGTCCGTCTCCGTTATTAACGTTTGATTAACATTGCTTCCTCTTTCTATCTCCGTCCCTATACTGCGAGTCTTATTTGATATTCGATTCTAACGATCAGGCTGTCAGCAATCGAGCATTTTGAGTTTTTCGGCGAAGCAACAGTGGGTATTGTCCCATACGTGGTCGATATCTTCGTCGTTTCGTAGCCTAGAAGATTTTGTTGCCATCGATATGACCGTGTTGATCAATCGAGTGCTATGAGGATTCCATGAACAGTTTGTTAGAGCTCACTTTTTCTCGTGTCTTATTTTCTCTTTCGATTAATTGTTATTTTGTGCTACACTCGATTCGATTATCGCATCGGATTGGTGAACGGGTTAGCGGTTCCCGTTTATCGTGGGACTTACCCACATATTGCCACTTGATAATTTATTCTTGATGCGTTTTTTTTTTCTATTTCGATTTAGGGCACCATCTCTCTCTCTCTCCTAGTTCCATCTATTTCCCTGTTACGAGAACCATTTTGAATGCGCGTTGAATCCTTTATCCTAATCCATTCAACTCTTTCACCGTGTCTGTTGTCCAGAGGACAAGTTAGCGACGGACTCCGAACCGTCTTCGGGACTGGGTAAGAGTGCACACGCACACACAAACACACATGTGGAGCAGCATTTGGTGTCGTCTTCACTCAAACTGCGGGCACTGTTCACTTTGCTTTTTTTGTCTTTCTCGCGCGCACACACGACCGCACCCACCCACTTACACACCAGCACCAGCACCAATTGCCATTTCACAAAGCACACATTCTCGTAAGATCACCCACCCAAGCCAGAACACGTATTGCAACCATTTTTAATCAGATCCTGTTAAATGTCCGCACCATTTCAGCTAGCTGCTTAGTTCGTTGAGGCAGTGATTTAAGCTGTCCTCGTCCTTATTATCGGCTAACTGCTGTGAACATATGCTAACCTAACGATCTTTTTAATGCATCCTGGTCCCATTTCGTTTGCGTGCAACCTCCGACAGATTAGGGAAACGGTGTCTTCTTCCGTAATCCACCAGTCGGTTATTAAAACTGTTCATCGGAGCACTCAACGATTCTTCAGCTGATTTCACGGCTACAATGTGCTCTCCCGTATGGTATTTTGTAGTTTTCGGTGGGTGACTTTTCCAACCAGATCTGTGCTATGGAGTCACCTATTCTACTTAATACGTTGTCACATGCGTGGTCCACAAATCGCGCTTTTGATTGCGATACGTGTCCTACGTTCTGTTACATATGGACTCGGTTGTGCATCTAACGTTAATTGAATGTCGTGATGACACGGGTTGTGTGATGGATAACGCTCAGTGCTTATTCCACAATCATTACATGTCCTGACTCTGAGGAATGTTGACCAAGAGCGTAATATTCTTTGTTGAGTCTTCCCCCCAACTGGAATTGCAGTTAACTCTTATGGTGTCGTTCCCTACTTGATCGTTTAGCCTTCAAATGTAAGTCCAAATGTTGCCAGACTAACCTAATAACTTATACACCACATATAATCATACATATTGTCCTCCGGTTTCTCAGTTGAAATAGATAGATGTTACTGTGCTGAACGAGCTTGCTTCTTATTAATTTTTTTCTTCATGAATTTCAATCCCGTTGTTCGATGACCGGAGGTACACTCGCCTTTCATACAAGACGGTTTGAGGGTTGGAACTAATGGGTGGGATAGGGATTAGGCACCAGTGATTAGCTCAAATAACGGCGTAGTTCAGTTATTACCCCCAACATGTACGAGCTGACGGTTCAAATCAGATCAGTTCAGTTCGTACAAGCATTAACCATGCATTTCGTTGATGGTGACCTCTGAGAACGTGATGTGAAGGGTGATAAATAGAAATCATAGATTACGTTCCGTTTAAATAATTTTTTTGAGCCATAACTAAACACGAAAGAACTTCTTAACAGCTGGTTTCTTCGGGGTGTTCACGTAGATAGTCTTATTAGTGTTGATAATCGGGTCAAGCCCCGATTTCAACGATGTTTTCCACTGGTGTTGACAGAGAAAGAAGCCGTTCGTGTTTCTTTTTCATTATCTCTGCTGGTTACTGGCACCTGCATGAACTGACAATAGAAAAAATCCTTCCTTGGGCGGTTTAGAATGCCGGATATTTCCGTTGAACTATCTAATTTGTATTATTTTAAACACTGCGTCTCCCTTACCCATCGCATCAAGACCGAAAGAAGACCTATGTCGCGAGATGTTAACATTTCGTTTAATCTTCTCAATCGTTGACGTAAAACAGACAAGCACATAACACATTTGATTTGTAACTCCTAGTAAACAGACATGTACAGATAGACACTAGTCAGATCACATCATCCCATTCTGTGCGCCGAAAGTTGTTGACCCAATCAGTTCACTTGCCATGGAGTTGACCTATTGTTTTTAATTCTAAGATCCCCTTTCCATCTGTACATGTCCGTTCACTAGGATTTACAAATCCAATGTGCCCCTTTGTTTTACGTCAGTGGTTGAGAAGATTAAACGAAATGTTAACATCTGGCGACATTTATCTTCTTTCGATTTTCATGTGATTTGTATGAGATGTAAGGAAAGTTGTTTATTGAGTTTTCTCCTTCGTGCTCCGCGTTGTTGTCTGTTTATGTGCTCCACGTTATCGCATCATTGTCCTCCTAATGTTCTCGCGAAAACTTATTCTGATTCATACACCCCACTTCGTGCTGTTCATTCAATCGGGTGATAGATAAAAACGAGCCTATAGATGCCCCTCGACACTCGTGATTAGTTTTCGGTGTAGCTCGTGGCTTTTCGTCCGTTTATTGTTATAAGTCGATCAATCGTGTTGCAGAGAACCGTCAAGGCCCGACTAAACAAATGTTGCTTTACTATCCAGTAAAAGCCATTGATGCGCATATTCTTTGAGTTCTTCCAATTATATATTAATGATGTACATAGCAGATAGGATGCTATGCAATTTGGAGCGTGTTGGAAACATTGCTTGACTGTTTAAGTGTATGTATCAGGCACTGATGCTTCTCGGTCCCTTCCATAAGCTCTTTGCATTCGTGAGATGCGGAATGTTACCGCCTACTTTGCAACTCAATGCCTCGTCAGCGAATGCTTGGTTCGTTGCTTTTCTTCGTTAGTTGATTGTGTGACTAATGGCCTTGGCACATCGGTAGAAACGACTGCACGCATACCGCGGTGAGATACGCAGAGCTAACACATGTATGATATCAAGCTGTCATTCTACTTTGAATAAATGGTTTGATGCAACTGTTCACTGCAAGTATGTCACCTCCCCGAGTAGTATGGGTAACGTGTTGTTTTGTTCTGGGTCCAGTCGCAATACACACAACCAAATCTGTTTGCTTTGGTATTCCTGAGGTCGCTTCTCTCTGGTCATCAACAACGGTATCCATGTGATTATCTTTTTCTCTTTCTCTGTTTGTCTTTCATGTTTATCTGTGTCCTGATTGCAATTGGTTAGGAATAAGACGTATAACGTTCTCTTTTCATCGCATTGTTTTCGGTTTTTTCGCTTGTTCTCAGTCTCGTCATTTGTTCTCGTAATTAATCGCTTATCCCCACTAACACGTCACCACGGTCGATTTTTCTGTGAGTATCGGTGCATGTTTTCTTTGTGGGTCAGTCCTCTTTTGGATTTCCTCCCAATCGGACCTCTATTTGGTCTCTTTGTCTGCGTGCTCTTCTCAGTCTCATTGGTAAAATGAAAACGGTGTTTTCTCGTTATAAATTCGAATAAAGAAATCAGAAACATGGGTTTGCACTATGTATCCATGGTCATTTCGCTGCATCTGTACACTGCAGTCAAACTGATTTTTATATAGTCAGTGAGATAACTACCGTGAAATGAAGACATGGTTGTTAATCTCAACGCACAACACTACACAGGAACACAAAGAACGGGAGAGGGTAGGGGGTTAATCACCAAGGCAAAGCTCTAATGTGGGCTAACCATTTAAGTTGTATGCGTAGATCGGGTTTGAGGGTACGAATGGCTAGAGCCTCGGCAAATTTTACTAACTTTGTGTTTGTTGTGTTGTAGATGACCTGAAATGACTGAGTTGGAGTGACACAAGGTTTTTGTTGTGTTATCGAAGATCTAAGTCGTTTCTGCTCCTTCGATGACATAACAGTTTTGAACTTGTCGTCCATCGCTTTCCTAAGCCACATCGGGATGTGTTCGGCCCTTCGGTGACGTAACTGACTCTCTGTCTTGCATATATAGATGGCTGAGCATCCACACTTGAGTTGGTAAATGCAGTTTGATTTGGCGGAGAGGGGGGGACAATGGTTCTTTAATCGATTTCGATGGTATCCGAATGATCGTGAAGACAATGACCTGGTCAACTGCGTAGTAGACAGGTTTGACGGCAGAGTTTAACCGCTTGTTGACTAATTCAAACACGTCGTATCTTTTTGTGCGTTGTGAATAGCAATCATGTCTTCAGCTCACGGTAGTTATCTCACTGACTATATAAAAATCAGTTTGACTGCAGTATACAGATGCAGCGAAATGACCATGGATACATAGTGCAAACCCATGTTTCTGACTTCTTTATTGTCAAAATGATCAATTTGATGATTCTTCAACAAATACATTCCACTCTTCTAGGTCTGTCCCTTGAAGCTCGTGGTATTCAGTTTACAGATGCGGATGATCTCCTGGTGGAAAAGCGTGACGTGGAATCGTATCAGAGATACAAAATACTTCGCAACAAATCAAAAATTTGGGAGGACTGGATGGAGGGCACAGATGTGAGCGACTGTGAAGACGATATCAAGGAGGATAAATCCATAGACTCCGATATATTCGATGCGAACAGTTATCCGAATCACGTAGAACCGTCCGCATCTGCTGTTCCTGGCTTGCTAGAAGAGGTGCTGATGCGCGCCGAATTTCTGCACTCTGTTCCGCATTCGGATAAGAAAAAGAAATCGCCCAGCGGTGTCTCTTGTCGGCCTCAATTCATTCTGTACACTAATCACTCGATATCCAAATCAACAACTCCGGTGGCTCCAGTTGGAGGTAGGTTAGCACTGTCGTATGCAGGAAAGTATATGCTTCCTACTTTGCGTATAGATTTTCTCGTTTTTCATTGCATTTAATTATATAGTCCACAGCAACAATGGTATATATTTGTGCATAGAATGTACCGTTCACTCCTGATTACCTACATCCTTCGTCTGGGGACTTGCTTTGGTGAAATACCTCAAGTTTCACTTTCTGTCAACAAAGTTGGATTTCCATAGCGTAATTCAAATTGCGGACCACAGGACCCTAACTACGTCAGTTACTGCTACTTAAACCGTTTAGCCACCATCCAAGAAGTGTTGTTAAAATAAATCACCATTTGCAGATCCAATCTTTTGACAGCTTTCTTTTCACTCTCCGAGCCCTTCATCTGCATTCATTTTCGCATGCACGCACGCACACAACTTGTCCACTCACTTATCTGATTGAAGGTTCCTCATCTCCCTCAAATAGCTTCCTGTACTAATTTCTTCTTCTTTACCCAAGACACAATTGTTTTTGTTCCGAATCATTAAAACTCGTCAAAGATTCCTCACGTCAACGCACTGACGAGAAAAAAATTGCCTCTCCGACTTTGATTACCGCGAAAGTGGTAGTATAGGAAATTGTTTAGAAAGCATTCTGACCAATCATCGTCTTCTTTACTTCAATTGTTTTGTATGCTCGTTGTTTTTCTCCACAACCTGAACCTTTTTCCAAATGAACGTTGTCAGTGTGGTGTGTTCAAGTGGCTCTCTAATCAGGTTGTGACTCTGCATGTGTACGGTGCTTCTTTCAAATCACCCGATATATATATATATATATATATATATATCACTCTTTCAATTCGTGTGGCTTTGAGTACCGGGATAAAGTTTGTAGTAGTGGAACAGTTACTGCTCAGACATAGAGGTACAGAGCAGCATGGGAGTTCATTCTTACTAGGAAATAATTATTGTTTCTGTGGGGTACCTATCCTGATCGATACAAGTATTCTAATTAACATTCAATTTTTCGTACGGTGCACGGTAAATGTTTCGATAAATGATAATTTTGCATTCTAATCAAATCGTGTGACTGCACTCTGCTCACGTGAAACATCTTGTCATGAAGGGAGCAAAAGTATCATTCGTGAAACGTAAAAACGGATCTTCGTAAATGAGCATTTTGCAGCGGGGTTTATTGAATAAGCGTTTTGTAATGTTATAATGTCCAAACCGAATGAAATATTCAAAATATTTGGTCGTTTAGTGAACTCAAGAGCCGCCTCCGGTTCCTGACTTGTGCAAATGCCTCAATATGAATACGCGCATTGCATTGCACCATTTGTGCACTGTTTTCCCCGCCCGCTAGTGTTGATTTTGCCCCAAATACACAATTTTTAGAAGCAGGACGTTTTGTCCACGACTCGAACTCCCGTTTAGGTCGATATGTCATGCGCAAGTGTCAGTGCACAAAGCGCTGGTCTTCTCCTCTGTTGCATAATAATGTTTACCAAGAAGACCTGAATTGTGGAACGCTTCCGCACTTCGCTTAGCTTCTCCTTTCACTGCAGAATGAAAATCGTCAAAACCTTCTTAGTTTGTTTCTCTTTCCTGGCGTTCTCTACTGTTTTGATTAGGTTAAAACATTGCTTACACGCGGAACATGTTATCACACCCAACCCACTTACTTTTTGATTGAATTCCTTGAGATCGGTATTTCATATTTCTTCTGGAATAATATCGAATAACAAAGCCGTTCTTTCATAATATCAGCTGAATTGTCTAGACGATTCATGCAAAATAGGAATACCAACGTAGCATTACTTGCTTTGTGAAGTCAACCGTTTTCGGCGAGCTAATAGTAGGAAAATGATTTTGTCTTCACGACCATTTGGCTATGGATTTTGTGGGACTGCATGTGAAACATTTTACTGGTCATCGGCATGATTCTGTTAGCGTGATAACCATCTCCTGGCAGCTCCAGTTGTACATGTTCTGACCATTATAGTCTCCTGCGCACTATACAACCAGAGCGATCGCCTTTCCTTGGAGACCAATATGCCATTGCATGGCATATCGGCAGGCTACCTGTTAGATCAGCTCTAACATGATGCTATTTCCATGAGAGTAATAGAGGTTTTGATTCAATTACATATGAAGGAATTCGTCGGGTATAGAGCAACTGAAGCGTGAAATGCAAAGCTAAGAAGCGCTATCATACAGCTGTTTCTCATCACATCTAAGTGGTTTGGAGCTTCCATATCGTCATCCGCACGCAGCATCCCACATCTGTCCCCCAGGAGGTGGTTCTAAGTGAGCTTTTCTGCCCTTGTGGTCGTGTGAATCTGCGACCCTTGACTCGAACTCGACAGGGAGTGCTGTCGTGGTTAAATCAGTGTTTGCACTGAGATAGTGATCGTTCTACGAATATTGTACCGTATAATCTGAAAACGACAGCCTGAATTTCACATGCTTTTCAGCCGGATCGAATGGTCTGTTTGACCATATCGTTTTTATCCTCTATTGTCGCTCGGTTTCATCATCTCAGCTTATACTTATTGCTTCCATTGTTGGGTTTCCCTATGAATATCAATTTCGCAAAATATCTATGATTTCTGTTGGTAATATTATTCACATTTCGCCAATCGTTGTTGAGTCAATAAACACTTGAGATTTTTTTCCACTCCAGGAGGCACTAAGGAAAAAGAACATTGTGTGTAATTTTACAGCCAGGGTCACGTGAATATCAAAAAATGTGAAAGACTGGGTGGTAGTAAGTAGTTCGACTGACCAAAAAGTAGGAAACGTTTAGTCAGTTGTTTTTAATCACATCAAGTCTGTTTATGCGTTGTGATCAGCATCGGTTCACGAAAAACACCAACAAGTTTGTTTTGCTATTTCTATAACATGATGTTGAATGAGCCAGTCCGGTGAACTGGTTGTCATGTTGTATCTCGTAATCGATGGAGCCGAATTTTCCCTGTCTAGTTTGGACGTGATCGTATTCGATCGGTAGTGGCAAGCGAATTTGTAGATAAGATGAATTTTACGGAGAGGTGAGACTGGGACTGTGGTAGTTGAAACACTTGAACTGCCCGCTATGAATGAGCGTTTGAAAATAAATTCCTTGTTCTGTCTAAATCTTTTCACACCTATACTCTTTTTTAACTGTTAGAAATATTATGATTCAGTTCTCTGATGTAATCAAGACTTTGCAGCTTGGATTTCTACCTTTCGCTTCGACCGTGTTAGGGAAAATTACCAGCATTGCTATTTGCCCTTCTGTTGGATACACTCATGTTCCAAAATCACTGAGTTGAATTAGAATACGGTGTAGGTAAACTTCCGTTTTCGATAAATCCGTTCTCAAGTTTGTACAGTCAGTTCTATAGAACAAAATTCGATGCGATCAGACGGAAAGGGGATTGGTGGATATTGGTATGATGTTCGAATCACGTATTCAAACTTTGCGGTGTTGCGTTGACGTCATTTCTTTCTTCAGCCTGGGAAATTTGACTCCGTGAGTCAACTTTCGTTTTACATACAGTGCAGGTTTCGCAATACGCATAATAATCCTCTCTACAGTTACTATCGTCAAAAACCTCAAAACTGTCTATGGATTGAGTGAGGCTTGAAATTTTTTTATGAAACAGATCTGTTTGATGAACAGCTTAGGTACCTCATAATCGTAGAAACCTGCTGTTCAGCGATGAGCAACGATTCAACTTAACACAGTAGATCCTCACCCGTGGCCATATACGTTAAGGTTGTACCGTTTCGCCATTCCAATTCTTTTTATTTCTTTACATAATGTGAATTACAGTAAACGGGACAATCCCTATGGACAAATAGCCCACTGTAACGGGGAGAGCGTGGGAACATTTACGTAAGATCCAGTTTATTGATTCTGCGTTTAAAAAGTGCAGGATTGTAATTTGGGGGAAAACAACAAGGGGGAGCGTGTTCCACAGTTTGGCAGTTCGGGGGGGGGGAGAGATTGGAGTAGAGAGATACGATATCTGGGAACAGAAACCTGATAAGGATGACTAGATGCCCGTGTATGGAATGGACGGGTAAATGTTGCATGTACAGGAACTGCCGAGGCCAGTTCCGAAGAACAAAAATCAAAGTAGTAGCGGTAGAACAGGGACAACGAAGCAACTGCCCGACGATGGGCTAGTGACTGTAGACTGAATGGACCAGCGATTAGCCGAATGGCCTTTCGTTGCATATGGTCAACAAGGGAAAGGGACTATAGTATAGTATAGTATAGTATAGTGACTATAGTATTCAAGATCAGGGTGGGTTTGAGCTTTGTACGATAGAAGATGAGCTGGGGTGAAACAACGTCTGGCGCGGAATAGAAATCCAACCTTGCAAGCAACACGAGAAGCAAGCTTAGCTATAAAAGGGGACCAGCATAAAGAAGAAGTTATAGGCAATCCAAGAAGGGAAACAGAGTCTGTTTAACACAGTTGGGTGGAATTAAAAGATAAATGGGGGGGGGAGAATGAATGGTGTTTAAATAAATTGAAAGGAGAAATGTTTTAGAACTAGTAAATGAAACGTGGTTTGCAATACCCCAGGAGATGTGTTCGATATCGGAGTCCAGTGACATTAACTGCACTACGGTCACCATCGATGTTGGCTTGGCGAGGAGTGCGGTAGGAGGGAGCAGGGGACGGTAGCGTCATCAGCAAAGGAATGAATCGGATTGGCAGTTTGGGAAAGGAGATCATTGATAAATAGAAGGAAGAGGGTAAAAGCAAGTACTGAACCTTGGGGAACACCAGCGTTCACAGGGAATCGCTGAGATAGAGTCCCATCAACTCGGACGGAGATGGTTCGCTTATTGAGAAAACTTGATATTCACGCTACGAGCACTGGAGGGAACCCGAACTTGGATAGTTTCGCCTGTAGACCTTCGTGCCAAACTCGGTCGAAAGCCTTTGAGATGTCAAGCGAGACCAAGTGTGTTTCCCCGTGTTTATCGAATGGAGCTGATCAGAATTGAGACAAGAGCCAGAAGGT